TCAATCTCCCAAAACCTATATAGGTTCTGTCTCCCTACATCTATATGATCCAATCGTCTCACTTTCCATAAATCTGTATAATTCAATTGTTCAATTATGGTTCCATCTATGATCCAATCGTCTCCTTTCCCTCCTGTTCCAATCTCCCCAACACCTATAGGTTCTGTCTCCCTACATCTATATGATCCAATCGTCTCCTTTCCCTAAATCTGTATAATTCAATTGTCCAATCTCCCAACACCTATATAGGTTCTGTCTCCCTACATCTATATGATCCAATCGTCTCCTTTCCCCTCATCTGTATAATTCAATTGTCCAATCTCCCAACACCTATATAGGTTCTGTCTCCCCTACATCTATATGATCCAATCTCCTTTCCTAAATCTGTATAATTCAATTGTCCAATCTCCCAACACCTATATATAGGTTCTGTCTCCCTACATCTATATGATCCAATCATCTCCCTTTCCATAAATCTGTATAATTCAATTGTCCAATCTCCCAACACCTATATAGGTTCTGTCTCCCTACATCTATATGATCCAATCGTCTCCTTTCCCCCCAAATCTGTATAATTCAATTGTCCAATCTCCCAACACCTATATAGTTTCTGTCTCCCCACATCTATATGATCCAAACGTCTTTTCCCTAAATCTGTATAATTCAATTGTCCAATCTCCCCAACACCTATATAGGTTCTGTCTCCCCAATCGTCGTCCCTTTCCCAAATCTGTATAATTCAATTGTCCAATCTCCCAACACCTATATAGGTTCTGTCTCTCTCACATCTATATGATCCAAACGTCTCTTTCCTAAATCTGTATAATTCAATTGTACAATCTCCCCAACACCTATATGGTTCTGTCTCCCCTATCCAATCGTCTCCTTTCCATAAATCTGTATAATTCAATTGTCCAATTCCCAACACCTATATAGGTTCTGTGTCCCTACATCTATATGATCCCAACACCCTTTCCCTAAATTGTATAATTCAATTGTCCAATCTCCCAACACCTATATAGGTTCTGTCTCCCACATCTATATGATCCAATCGTCTCCTTTCCCCTAAATCTGTATAATTCAATTGTACAATCTCCCAACACCTATATATGTTTTGTCTCCCAATCTATATGATCCAATCGTCTCCTTTCCCTAAATCTGGTTTCAATGTCTCTCCCAACACCCTACCTATAGGTTTCTGTCTCCCCCATCTATATGATCCAATCGTCTCCCTTTCCCTAAATTTGTATAATTCAATTGTCCAATCTCCCAACACCTATATAGGTTCTGTCTCCCTACATCTATATGATCCAATCGTCTCCTTTCCCTAAATCTGTATAATTCAATTGTCCAATCTCCCAACACCTATATAGGTTCTGTCTCCCTACATCTATATGATCCAATCGTCTCCTTTCCATAAATCTGTATAATTCAATTGTCCAATCTCCCAACACCTATATAGGTTCTGTCTCCCTACATCTATATGATCCAATCGTCTCCTTTCCCTAAATCTGTATAATTCAATTGTCCAATTCCCAACACCTATGTAGGTTCTGTCTCCCAACATCTATATGAGTCTCTTTCCATCCCTGTATAATTCAATTGTCCAATCTCCCAACACCTATATAGGTTCTCTCTCTACATCTATATGATCCAATCGTCTCCCTTTCCAAATCTGTATAATTCAATTGTCCAATCTCCCAACACCTATATAGGTTCTGTCTCCCTACATCTATATGATCCAATCGTCTCCTTTCCATAAATCTTCAATTGTCCAATAATTCTGTCTCCCCTACATCTATATGATCCAATCGTCTCCTTTCCCTAAATCTGTATAATTCAATTGTACAATCTCCCAACACCTATATAGGTTCTGTCTCCCTACATCTATATGATCCAATCGTCTCCTTTCCCTAAATCTGTATAATTCAATTGGTTTTGTCTCCCTAATGATCCAATCGTCTCCTTTCCCTAAATCTGTATAATTCAATTGTCCAATAACACCTATATAGGTTCTGTCTCCCTACATCTATATGATCCAATCGTCTCCTTTCCCCTAAATCTGTATAATTCAATTGTCCAATCTCCCAACACCTATATAGGTTCTGTCTCCCTACATCTATATGATCCAATCGTCCTTTCCTAAATCTGTATAATTCAATTGTCCAATCTCCCAACACCTATATAGGTTCTGTCAATATGATCCAATCGTCTCCTTTCCCATAAATCTGTATAATTCAATTGTCCAATCTCCCCTCACATCTACATATAAATCTAGTTTCAATTGTCCAATCTCCCAACACATATATTCTGATCTATATGATCAATCGTCTCCTTTCCCTAAATCTGTATAATTCAATTGTCCAATCTCCCAACACCTATATAGGTTCTGTCTCCCTACATCTATATGTTCTCGTCTCCTTTTCCATAAATCTAATTCAATTGTCCATCTCCCAACACATATATAGGTTCTGTCTCCCTACATCTATATGATCCAATCGTCTCCTTTCCCTAAATCTGTATAATTCAATTGTACAATCTCCCAACACCTATATATGTTCTCTCTCCCTACATCTATATGGTCCAATAGTTCATCTCCATACACTTAAGAAAATGTAAGGGGAAAAACGAAAGAAGCAATCATACGTAAGTGGTAATGGCCCACTGATTTAAAATCGCAGACGACATCTAAATGTTATATTCGGTACGGATATAAAATGCTTTAAAAAGTTATACATGAGATAAATGTCATTTACTATGAAAGAAAAAAAAACGTGATTTAACAAGATACTCGATACACTACTTATCCTGTGAATAAAAAAAAATGAAATTTGTGAGTTGAAAGAATTAAAATATCACTTTTTATTGTTTTGTAATAAAGCACTCCTTTAACACACACACACACAGACACAGACACAGACACACACACACACACACACACACACACACACACACACACATATATATATATATATATATATATATATATATATATATATATATATATATATATATAAAAAGTGATTTTTACTCACAGAAATGACACATAGATTTAAACATCATGGACGTCATGCACCTTTGGACAATACTTTTCCAAAAATACGTTGGTGATTGCGAATCCAAATGAAGACACACTCAATAAAAGAGTATAAAATAGAAAAATACACAATCCTCCAACAAACGCAAAGGAACGTTTCATCAGCCGAGCGTGTCCAGTCAAAAGAAACTTTCATCAGCCTAGCCTATGCTTTTTACGTTTATGACGTCCGTGTTGTTTATATATATATATATATATATATATATATATATATATATATATATATATATATATATATATATATATAGAGATATGTATATATATAGATACACCTAGTGAGCCGGAACCTACCTAGGTTTCACCTAAACGGATCGATCGTCAGGGAAAGTTTGGCCAAACATTCCATGACGATCCATTTAGGTGAAACCTAGGTAGTTTTGTCTGGCTCACTAGGTGTATCTAGGTCTGCTCTACTGTTGCATTGAGCTCTTTTTTGTTAGTTAGTTGTTTACTCGTATCGGGTTTTTTTCTTTGGGCTTCAGACCTGCATCTGTGCGATTTTTTTTGTCAGCAGAAGTTCATGTTTGGAGCTCTTTCTTTTTAAAAACATTTTTTTTCCCTCGAGATTGATTTGATTAGCAAATCAAAAAATCGAGGGTTTTTCAAAACGAGTCTAGTTATCTATCTATCTATCTATCTATCTATATATATATATATATATATATATATATGAGAAGCCACGTATACTTTCTTAATATGTATATATAAAAAAAGTTTTTAATTATGAAAATTATAATGTTTTTGATTTTATGAAATTGTTTATTTATTTATATATATTTTGATATTTCAAATATATATATTTTTTCATCAGATGAATTTTAAATATCAAAATATTATAATTAAATAAATTTGAAACTTTATATATATATATATATATATATATATATATATATATATATATATATATGCGTTTGTGTGTGTGTGTCTGTGTGGAAAGGGGACACGCTAGATTTATCTGGTTTGCATTTTTTAAAAAAAAAATATTTTCATATATCTGGTTTTCATTTTAAAAAATTTATTTAGTTGGGGTTTATGTTCTATGTTAACCATTTCCAGCCCGATTCTCTTTGCCTTACTCTTTTTTTTTCCCGCGATTATCTCGTCTCATTTTTTTCCCCCGCTCTTATCAACATCGCTAGTGCCCGAGGCTGATGATTCATCATCATTTCGCCAATGGTCGTTGATTTAGTCACGTGACCGAATTGTATGACATGTCGCCCCGTACAGGTGACGGACTCTGTCCAACGTAATCTCAATGCACAATTCAAATCTTATTATTCACAACCAATGAAGAGCAACGTAGACGACGTTGCTTGACCTGCTGGTCGTACAAATGTCCAGCATGTTGGCCGGACTAAAAGCCGAAACCTTTGTTGGCATGTGAGAGAGATAACCAAGATGGCGGCTGGTGCTTAGCAATGAGCAGCTTGTATGATTGGTCGCGAATCTGCCGTTGACAGATCTATCTATGATATTTTTTCTTTGTCAACATAAACGCCGTGGACAGGACTTTTTCACTTCATTTTCTTTTTGCTTTAAAACGTAATCATCAGAAAATATCATTTATGAGAGTATGTTTATATGTGGGGCCATCAATGATTTAAGAATATTATTTGTTTTAAATATTTACATATACTTATTTTTGGTGGTCTAATATATCGATGGAACGAAGAGATTCATAAAAAAACGGGATTAGTAATCATAATTGATAACATTTATATGCAACATAATAAAATAGTAACTAAGAATAAGGGCGTTATGTGAATGTCATAAATTATAATTGCCTTAAAAATTAGTTAATGCACAATAAAATACAAAGAAACACTAGAATAAGTAATATAATATGATTATACATAAAAGTAAAATTATCTAGCGAGTTAGCTATCTACCTACCTACAAATGTATGTACATATACAACTTTTCCTATCTATCTATCTATCTATCTATCTATCTATCTATCTATACCTGCTCGTATGTCTCTCCATTCTTTCTGAATCTGTTCATATGTGTCTATGTGTATGTATATATCGGGCTGTCGATTACAATATCTATCTATCTATCTATCTATCTTAGCCTTTCTAAATCTATATATGTAATACAGTCTATCTAAAATCTATCTCCATATATATATATATATATATATATATATATATATATATATATATATATATATATATTTATCAATGAATCTATCTCAGAATTTTTTTCATATCTATCTATCTATCTATCTATCTATCTATGTGTAATTTTGTCATTCTCCAAGAATCGCGCCCCCCCATATAAGTTGTATAATTCGTTGAGGAAACACATCTTTCTTTTACACCACTTTCTACTTTTGATATATTTAAAGATCTCATTTTATATCCGTGTGCAGGATCTTTGTTTACAGTATAGGTAATCGATTATTCTAATGTTCTTCCCAATGGAAAATAATTGATCAAATTAATGGCTTAATATTTGTTGAAACTTGACTAATGCATGAAATAATAATGCAACACAAAATGTACTTAGATCAAAATGTATTGAAACAAGGAAGTGTACACAATATTTACATATAGTCTTTTGTATATTCCTGGAACGACCGTTCCTGGAGAATGTGATGACTGAGTCGCAGTCGGGCAGAGTCTCTGGTTGAATCTCTTGATTCCCCCCTCTCTTCCCGGTACCAACCATATTTATATGGTCGGTACTCCACTATGCAAATTAGGTGGATCCTACCACAACAATATTATACAATTATAATGAAAGAGTAAAGTTAGTATCAAATTTGTACGCATTTTGGTAGGTAGGGAATTGACATCCAATAAGAGGTGGTGATTTATTAATGTGTTTGGTGCTATATTTGTAAGTATAATCGCTACTATTTCAACAATTTTAAGAATATTTCTGTCTTTTTTTAAAAGACAACAATTGCACTTGAACCTAGTTCTGCCAACTATCATGTTGGAAATGACAGTAATAAGTTTCTTGCAATTGCTATAGTGGAATGTCGAGAGGGATTTCCTCAGTGAACTATTGTCAGCATTCTGAGTTTTCATGCGCAATTCTAGAATTTTCGAGTATACTCTGTACGAATTATGGCACAAATATTAAAACCACGGTCACCACCCATTACTCATTTCTGCCACAGTATGTGATATTCCCCGCCCCCTAAGTGTTACTGGCACCGATTTTGAGCTGCCCTGGATGTAGTGTTTCGAGTTTGTTTATAGTGGAGTATATGACTTATGATTGTCAGCATGGTTTGTTCATAGCTCTGTGGGATAGGCTCTTTTCAATTGTAGAAGGATTACCAATGAAACTGAAATATACCAGTTCCATATATATATATATATATATATATATATATATATATATATATATATATATATATAAGAATGTTGAAGTCAACACTCAGAGGATGCCAACCTAGCAGTAAATTCATGCAGTCGGAGCACCAGTGAAAACAGCTCGTCAGAGCAGATGCTATGAAAATATTTGTAGAAAAGCCAGAGGAAAGCCACATGAAGTCTGTGGGAAAGTGACTAAATTCGAGATACCAAGTCCAGACCAATCACATTGCATATTGATAGGAGGTAGAAAAATTTCTCTATGGTGGGTAAATACGATCAGTTTCGTTTTGGATGCATTAAAATTTACGAGCCATTTTCTGCCCCAGACCACCGCAGATTGGATGTCATTTTCGAGACCAACGGACAAGTGAACTTTGTCAGCAATGGCAGATTTACTATTAAGACAGGAGTAAATTGTACTGTCGTCTGTGTAGAATGTCTACTTGAGAACTGGTGACATAAGGAAGATCATTGATGAGGATCAAAAACAGTATAGGACAAAGGATAATCTTGGGGAACACCAACGTTCGAACCTGTTCAGAACCAATTGCATTTTAACGGTTAGACAGGTATGATTACATTAAACCAAATGATCTACATGTAATACCATATCCGGAAGCTAACGTAGGAGACCGGCATGGCAAGCTCTGTAAAACGCCTTCAATATATCTAGAGCAACAGCTCGAGCTTCACCGTTATCAAGAGATTGGTACACATATTCAGTTATGGCCGTAAATATATCAGCCGTAGGCCGGGCAACGTGTAATAACATAATTTTCCATCCCACAAAATGTTTAATATCTGAAAAAACACCAGAGTAATTGAGTTTCTTTTTCCCAAGTTTTCATACAAGACGTTTAGCAATCTTGACACACTTTTTCACAAGAATAATTGAAAAAACCTTTCAGTTCTTCTGTTGAAACGAAATTAAGTTAAAACTATTTTGTGTCAGACACACTGTCTTATCAAATGAGCATTGGTGAGAGGAAAAAGATCATTCAGGTTTTCAGTGATGGTCCCTACACTCATACACTGGATTCCATCTTCAAAGATTATTCAAGAACCATCAAGAGATCGGCGAATAAGTATAAAAAATAGGAGACAACAGAGAGAAAAACTGGATCAGGAGGTCACAACAAGAGGAGGAAACATCATTTCCAGTTACAGCTAAACAGATCAATTATAAAAGATTCAACTCAATTCATAAGACGTTCAGCACGTGAGAGAGTATTTCAACTATAACAGTTAAAAGAGCAGTGAAAAAGTATTGAAAATGAAATCTTACGTGAAAAGTGTGAGACACCTTGTTACTTCAGGACAGAAAGTGAGAAGTTTAGAGGGGGCGAGATTATAAGTTAGAGAATGATCCTATAATATATATATATATATATATATATATATATATATTAC